ATTTACGCACCCCAAATCAGGTTCGGGCGAAGTTCAAGGCCCTGAAACAAAAGTATCATAAGGCCAATGAGGCAAACCGTAGAAGCGGTTTGGGGAGGTCATCATAGGTCACTGTGGGTCAGAAACATCCTGCGCCACGGGCGGCCCGAAACGCTTCCGCCTCTGTGTCTAAAGACGAACCGTTTTCTGTGGCGAAACGTTTCGTACCGTTTCGAAACGGTATACCGTTTCCAGTCTAAATCGGGCCTAAATGTGTTACATAGTTCATAGTGCACTTAAGCTAGTTTTTTCTGTTCACAATACATTCCAATGACAGATGGTCATCGAAACGTCGGCTTGAAAAAATAAATGGTTGTGATAAAAAGAACTTTGCTATTCAATTGTTCTTTGTAGTTTACATTAAACCTAGGTATCGGCAACAATGCACAGCCCCAATTTTACCTGCTCTAGCCTAGTTTCTGGACTACAATTCTACAGTGATATCTGTAAGGCCACACCAAGTAAATTTTATGGATGACGTCCTTTGGAGACCCTAAATCTAATGCGAGAGGGCGAAAAAAAAAACAAGAAGGGCCCTAAAAACAAGATGCCTAGATTAGAAATATACCAAGAGACGACAAATGTTAGGACACAAATTGAATGAGGTGACACAGTGTAACAAGCAAGAAGTCTTTTATTCATCATCAAAACAGCAATAAATCAGGTGGAACAGCAGTTGTCGTCTTGTGCTTTGGGGAGATAGATGGAGCGATCAGCAAGTTTCTTCAAATGTGGCAGCATGTACCAAACTGAATTCCTAATGGAAGTCATGATTTCCTTGCTTGATGCTTTATAAGCTTTGATCTGTACAAACCTATTTGCGGCACTGTCGTGACTCTTTGGTCATAGTTACAGGAAGCGGAATTTCTTGTGTTTTTTTTTCTAGGAACAGGCCAAAATCAATGCGCCTGCGGACGTCATCCATAAAATTTACTTGGTGTGGCCTAATCTGATAAAGAAAAACCATCAGGCTTTTCATACACCTTTATTGTCCAGGCAGTCTCCCCTGTAATCTCTCTTGGCGTCTACATCCCCACAGGGGCCAGAGGCAGTTTTATCTTTTTACAGCAAATATAGAGAGAGGACTGTGATCAAAGGACAGGGTACATCATTCTGGACTGGTAATGATTCCAGACAGCCTTTCAACAGATAAAATCCCTTATTATCAATATCGTTATTGTCAGTTGGAAGGTGCTAGTATTGCAACTGACGGAGAAGAAACCTCGGTGATCAAATTAACCTTCAGCCTGCTAAGGTACCCGTTTGTCACCAACTTTGTATCGGTTACCAGGCCAGGTTAAAGGTATCCAGTGCAGTTTTTAGGGCTAGGAAACCCAATTTTTCAAAGCCAATATTCTAGTCACTTATCTACACTGCGAGTCAAAATCACACTGTCCCAGTGTATATTGACCCTCATGGAGAAAAAATCCTGACGGAAAATGGTTACTGGGAGGGCCCTGTGCTGATTTTTTGGGTACCACCCAAAAAATAAAGGACTCATCTTGTGGCTTCTTTCTGCAGTTTTAAATGCCCAAAGTATGAAATACTGACTCAAATGTGCTAATGTGAAGCAGTGTGTGTCAATGTCACAAAAATTGCCTTATTCAGAATATTTCCAGTTTTGCTGCTCTAAAATTGCATTGGATGCCTTTAAGAAATGTAAAAGATATACTGTCAATGGTTCTGAACAGTTTTTCGTAAGATCCACACTTCTGAGTAGTGCTTTTAAAATTTACCTGGTGCGGGTAATTTTCGACGTTACATGCACCAGTGCAGGTATGCAGAAAAAAAAAAAGAGTATTTCAAGCCATGGTTTTACCATGATGAGACAAGAGACCTAAATATCAACTGAAGAGATTTCCCTTTGGTTCCTGATCAAAGAGGGACAGGCCTGGCCGGCGCCAGACTTTTCCTTTTAAAGGCAGGAGAACGTATCAGCCCTGGTCCACGGTAATTAGTCTCTTATTGGGCTACAGGAGTTGACAGTCTTGTAGTCTCACTCTAGTTAGCATCATGGAGGAAGCATTTAAACCCGGGATCAGGGACACCAACCGAATTCTCCGCTTCTCCAATATGGAAACAATACAACCTGAAGTCTACTGAAATTCCTGTCCTTGTTTTTCTACATTACTTTTATGTTCACAGTTGTCACTGTTGCTTCTTTACTGTGAACTTAACAATACATGAAATTTTGCTACCGTGCAAACCTTGCCATGCAAATATCTTCTATGCTATTTTTTTTCTGACTTGGTAAGTTGAGATAGCAGAAAGACAAAGCTATAAGGAGTCATTTTAAAACTTTTACAGCTATAATATAGTATTAACATTGTTTCCTAGGACATTTTGTTTCTGTTCAAAAAAGTGTCCAAGTGTCTTAGTTGGACTGGCCCTAACCTATTTTGGAGTTGAAAAACCGCAAGAGAGACCAGAGAAAATAGGCCCAAGGCTGATGAGATTACTGCTAATACAATTTGTGAAAAAAGACAGCATGTGTCCTCAGAAAAGGTCAATTGAATAACTTCTGGTGTTCTTCTTCTAAATTCTTCTTTTGCAGAGCTCGAAATACTGGGTGCATGTGCACTTTTGTGTCCCCAAAAATGGAGCTGTGCAACTAAGTTTTTGACTGTGGGTGCACCCAAATACCTGTGTAGGGTATTACTATGTCAAGGTACTGTTCTAGACTAGCATATTTGTGACATCACCTTGAAAGTGTCAGAAAAAGTACTAAAACCTTTTGTTGTCTTGTTGAAAATTTTGTTAGCTATGGATTTTGGGTCATCACAATTTTTCAATATAATGACAGAGTTTGCTGACATTCTACTTTTCCATCTTATGTTGTGCACCAAAGGAAAGGAAAGGAAAGGAAAGGAAAGGAAAGGAAAGGAAAGGAAAGGAAAGGAAAGGAAAGGAAAGAAGGGAAAGAAGGGAAAGAAGGGAAAGAAGGGAAAGAAGGGAAGGGAAGGGAAGGGAAGGGAAGGAGTGCCTTACCTGACGACGTCGTCAATGTTGTTTCTGTAGACACCCTCCAGTTTCTCAGCAGGAAACCCCATCGCTATGATGTTAGGATAAATGTCTGAGGACAACTGGTTAAGGAAGAGTTCATATCTCATACAGACACTATCATATCAGGCAAAACATCAATGGCACATATCTTAAAACCCTAATAGCATGACAAGAATAGTTTAATAGAACAGAATAGATTAGAATAACAGTTACTTTGTTCCTATTACCTGGTCACATATTATATATCTACTTTTTACCCTGTATGTATTCCAACGTTATTAGGTTTAAGTAGAGACAGTAGGTTCGATAAGTATATCGTACACGTAGAAGTTGTTAGCAAAGTCTTATATCACCACATTTTTCTTGTTAATGTCTGTATGCAATTAGCCCTCGGGCATGAATTTGCAATAAACATCTAATATCTTAAAACACTTACAGTGTAAATTGGTACATTTCTTATAACAGTGTAGGTTGGTACTGTCCTTGGTGCTGACTTGCATCACATGTATAAAACATCTGCCCAATGAAACTACTTTATGCTAAAACCTGATTTGCACGACTTTTAGTGTGCCTATAACGGAATGCAAGAACAAAGTTGCTACATTTCTTAACTCATATTGTGAACTACAAAATCAGTGTCCAGCAAATGGCTTTCATAACCATAATATCAATAGAATAAAAACTACTATTTAAAACATACCAGTATGCTAAAGAAGACATGACATAAACAGATATTTTATCAAGTTTATAATCCAAAGTATCCATGTAGCTTGTTTTAGGGCTTATTCAAAATGCTTCAGGTATGAAATAATGACGAAATCATGCCAAGAAATGGTAAATGTAAATGTCAATATCAGACAGATTTCTTCATCCAGAATACTTTTTTTGCCACCTTGAAAATGCCTTTAAAGTTTAAGATAACTGCAAAGTGAGTGGCCAGGCAAAGACTGTTCTGTCTCAGTGTTCGAAATACCTGTCTGCAGTCTGCAATCTGCAGATAGATTTTCAAGATTGCAGAAGAAAAATGTATACAATCTGCAATTTTGCAGCAGAAAAAATTGGCACTTGGGATTTGACACTTTTGGCCTCAAGGACAGACACCACTTAAGCTCCTGTTTTGAAACAACAGGAGCTTCTTCACTAATTTGCATCAACCTTGTCTTGACTTGTCTATCTTTTGTTTCCTTTTGGACTTCCAAAAATTTGTCTTCACTAATTTGCATATCAAGCAATACTTCATGCTTATAAACCTGCAAGATTGTAGTATGGAGGCTTGTGTATTTGCAGAAAGTATTTCCAAATTGTAAGAACAAAATTTTTACTCTTCTGCAATATTGCAGAGCACTGAAAAAAAAGTAAAAGTATTTCGACCACTACTGTCCTCTGGAAGAGTAATGTTGTCATCACACCTACATACAGATTGTGCCCACACTGTGTTCAGTCCACGGCTCACTTCTACCATCAGATTTACACACAGTAATGCTAGCTGGCAGCTCGGCGATAACTTATCACGAAAGGCGTTCATTATTTTTCCACAGTTTGGAGATTGTCGGGTGCGATTACGTTGGTCCTGTTTGAGCGTCATTAGCGAGTAGCTGTTTTTTCTTTAGCGGTGTGTACGTGTGCTACTTACGTCTGTAAGAATTATCTTTAGGATAGCCAAGCAGGTAATTTTTAAAAAACTGCAGATCTACTGTGTTCTAGCCAGGCCTTTTTAGCATAGGGGCCCCCTATGCTATGATTTTGACCCCCTATGCTATAATTTTGACCCCTATGCTATAATTTTGGAGGGAGAACCTTCAAAAATCTTGAAAAAAAATGAAAATATAACTTTAGAATGAAGCTATAGCAAAGGGAAACCTTAACTTCATAAAATTTGTTTCACATTAAACAAGAAATAGTGTCTCAGGGGGATGAGTTTCTAAATATTTCGGGTCAATGCATGACTTGCGCCACGAAAGTTGCTCTTCTGTACCTGACCCCTATGCTGTGAAAAAATCTTGGCTAGAACACTGATGCAGACTTGGATCAATTTAAGAGGTCAAATTTCCGAAACAGGATTGAACTGTAATATCTAACACAAAAAGTTTAAAGCTGTTTCAAAATGACTTCTACCAAGCAACACAGATGGACTTTCTCGCTAACAATTTTATTTCTGACTCCCACAGATAAATAGCTAGAACCAGCCTACCATACAAAATAAGCAACCAGTTTCTGTCAGCAATATCGCATCTTTGCCTCACAGATTGCAGTATTGTATGGGGTTGGGTTGACTATAAAAAAAACAGAAAGTTGACTGTGCAAATTTAGTTTTACTGCACTGAACTTGCTTTGGGTGTAGTTTTCTAACATTCTGCATTGGTGCAGTTTAGTACCCTAGAGCTTGAAAATTTTGCAACACTGACAGTTGGACATGGTCCAACACAAATGTCAACCAATCCAAGGGCATCAAATCCTGTTGGACCCCATGTCAATGAACTCCCCATTTGCGTCATTACTGAGTATGATTACTTGCTGGGTCCATTCATGGGCAGACACGCCTCCAAAACCATCCAAAGTTTGGCAGTAGAGCCAGGGCGAAATGGCTCATCCTATATATCATCATACGCAATGCACAGAATACTTTTCTTTTCTGGAAAAATAATATCAGGGCTCGAAATACTGGGTGCATGTGCACCTTAGTGCACCCAAAATTGGAGCTGTGCACCCAATTTTTTTCTGTAGGTGCACTGGTGCACTCAAATATTTTTGTAGGTATTTTTGTACATATTAAATGTATACAGTAATACTTGATATTCTTAGCATCTAAGTGTCAGAAAATCTTTGTTGTAGTACTTGTTTAAAGTACAAGATTTTGAAGTTAGCTCCCATTTCAGATTCAAGCTCAGAAGAAGAGCAGTAAGATCTGTTTTATATGGTGCACCCAAAAATTGTTCTGTGCACCTAAATTTTTAGGTTGGGTGCACCAGTGCACCTATTCCCAAAAATGAATTTCGAGCCCTGAATATCCTAGATGCTTCAAGTTTTGAGATATCAGCAATATCTGGACGTTTGGCCTTGGGAGAGGTAGAAACGGGCTTAGTACATCTAAGAATTATCCAACAAATACACAGAACCTGCCAAAGCAATTCAGAATATATTTAGGCCATGAATTGTATGACGGTCATTGACCTCAAACGGCCTGGACAATTCAGGACCAAGCAATACCTCAGTTCAGTTACCCATGGTAGGCAGAAGCATTTGGGAAACTGAAGAACGTTATAAGCACTTGGTGATTCGGCCCCAAAATGGCCGTAACAGCAGACACAAAGAGACTTGACACTGTTAGCAAATGCATTTCGGAAACTTCAGAACACTCTGTTTTATGGCGTCAAATGGCCTGACAATTTTTGAAACAGTTTTGCAGTGACTCTATGGGGAAAGAATTTCCTTTGGAGTATGTTTGCGACCTCGAATAACCTAAACAGTTAGAGAGACTTGACGTTACTACACGATGATGTTACATTGTACATTACTAACAGGGATTCTTAGAAACTGGCGTAGACAGGAAGACGCACATTTGAACACCCAGAGGTCCCGTATCCTGTCTGAGGGACGGCTAACTGTCACGATCGACGACACCCCTGTCCAGAAGTGGACTGGTCCAGAATGTCATGACAGCAACTTTCACGCTACCAAAGAGGGTAGAAAAAACTTAGAAAGACACATAAAAATTAATTTTCAAACTGAAGTACACAACAAACACCCCTACCTCATAGTTGACTAGTCTCTATATACTATAGAAAGTGACATAATTGACATACAGTGTGGCAGCTACCACTTTACTTGGAGGGGTGTGTTAATGTTTGGAAGGGCACACGCCAGGGTTTCAAGGTCAAATTTTAGACAGATCCATAGTGGCAAGAGGCCAAGGCACACACACACTGGGGGTCATTGACCTTTCAACAAGATAGCATCTAGATGTAAATGGACAGGCTGATTGATTGGGAGGCACAAGATAGCATCCACATGTAAATGGCCTGACTGATTGATAGGGAGGGGCTGTTTGTTATAAAACACTGTTCAACTTTAAAATTAAAGTCACTGATCATTCAAATATACAAGGTTAATCCCAAACTATTAGCTGTGTGAAATAAATAATCATATTTTAATAAAGAGTGTTCTATCTAAATGGTATGTGACATGTTTCGTCGGCAACAAGTTGAAAGGTAGAATGTGCCAAAATTTATTAAGTCAATAAGTCTTGCCAACTTTGTGTCATTCTTTCAAACAGCAGTATTCCAGTCTAGTTAAAAATGTACATACATGTATATCAATCATGCCCTAAAATGCAGAAAATCTATGTAGCAAGTCTGTATTTTGTAGCATTTTCAAATAATTCTGCAAATCATCTGTGAACTCAACCTGCAACAGAGCCTGCCATGCCAGGCTACAACAGTGCTACATTGTAATCTTCCCACTTTCCTAGCCTGGATGCCAGACCCCAGGGCGACAACCATACTCCTTGGCTTTGGAAGCCACACATGGTATAATTTATCTTTCAATACATCTCTAGTGTAATGTCTAACTGAGGAGTGTCTATGATGACTTCCTTGGGGACAGGTTAGCCCTGGAGCCAAGGAACTAGCCTGCATACTAGCCCTGGCAACAGTCTGGTACCCAGGCTACATTTACAGAAGACTACTGCCCAGAGACACAATAATGTTTGGGAAGGAGTCAAATTTCACCTGCAACAATAGCTCCTGTCAGCCCCCACTTCATCCAGCCACATGCCTGATATATTCCACTAGATCTTATCTACCAAGGTTAGGAACAAACCTAATCAAGACCAGAACATCGCTATAAATAGCACCAGGGTGGGAGGGGGGAAACAGCTGGACTGCTACTAGTGCTAGGTCCCAGTTTTAGGTCTCATACGCCAGTTTCTCTGTGCCATTGGGTATAAGGCCACAGCAAGTAAATTTTTGGGATGACATCCTCCGCAGACCCCAAATCTAATGCGAGCGGGCAAAAAAAAAACAAGGCGGTACGAAAAAAACAAGGTTCCTACATTTTGAATTTGACTCAGTG